TCTCTCTCTCTCTCTCTCTCTCTCTCTCTCTCTCTCTCTCTCTCTCTCTCTCTCTCTCTCTCGTGCTCTTAAGCACTCTCCTGCAAATAAATTACAACCATCGCACAAAAAAACAACACAACTCTAAAGCTTTACATTTTCTTTTTTCCAAATGCAAATGGAACAAACCTTTTTCTTTGTAATTGGGTTATACAAACAATGTTACACTTTACCATTTTCAACAGGTGTTAAGACAATTTTGAGTGGCATAAATTGACAGTAAAATACAGTTATAAAAGTGCTCCACCGATAACAAAACTGTTGATTGCAGAACTGGGTTTTTTTTCCTTTTCTTGAGATATAAAATTTAAAACACTATAACAGCAATATTACCCCCCCCCACACACACACTTTTTTTTTTTTTAAATGCTAAAGCTCTACTCTCTGACTATGGGCCATAACTTTACAAAAGTGTGGTTACACAGGTTCGTGGATAAACAGGAATGTTGTTATTGGGAAAGGGTCTCCTCAGGCCCAGCAAACAAAAGGCAGATTCAATCCGTGTCCGAGCCTATTCATGCATTCGTCCTGTGCTCATCAGTATTTGCCAAGCTCAACACTGGGCAAGCGATAAAGCCATTCTAATTACTGGGTTGTCCTTTTGAACCGGCCCGCTCCTGATTTCTAAATGGGTTGCTTAGTCATAGCAGGTCCACATTTCGCTTCCCCCAGCAGTTTCCCCTCGAATCAATTTCACAACATTGTCATTTTAAATGCCTTCGTCACCCAGAGCCTCCTTTGGTGACCATTAGTTGTTCTCTTGTGAGACTGTGGATTCCTGAGAAAAAAAAAAACAGACCAAGAGGTCAGATCATTAGTCACAGAATTACATGTCCCTTCGCCTTTCAGTAAGTCCAAGCCAAAACAGGGTTATTCAGTCAGGTTCCTAATTTGGACCTCAAGTTTTCCGATGTGATACGGCACCTAATCGCTCATCCATCCAGAAAAACAACAACAACCTCAGACCACTGTCGAGAGCGAGGGACGTATAGCGAGTTAAGTTCGCTGTGTGCTCACTTACAGTACTTCTGCTATCTTATCTCCTCTGTTTGGTGTCGCAATCCGATGCACTGACTTGGTCAACGTGTACTTATGCAACCTGTACATTTCCGATAAGGCCACTGTCGGTGGCGGAAATCCTAAGGCGTAAGCGCTCTTGTTTTCACAACCTTGTGCTACTTTCATTCGTCATTTCACAACGTGCAGCGCTTTGGAATTTTAATTTCAAAGGAAACACCATGTCTAAAAAGTTCATTCTTTTCTCCCTGAACATAAACATTTTTTTTTTTTTAAACGGCGACAACATTTCTTGCCTGCCAAAGCAACAGTTTTGCTGAAACAGCAGCACCTGGAAACACATGTAATGGACAGCAAATGGAAACTTTCTATTAAATCCTTAAATCTCCAAAGGGTGCTGCTTTAATTGCTCATAGGCCGTGCTTAATGAGAGTATCAGCACGCCATAAAAACCTCCCACTTCCTGCTCATAAGGCAGAGTGGGGTGAGGAAGTCTGTGAGTGGTCCTGTGTGTGGTGGTAGTATTTAGTAATGTATATATTTAGGCTGTCAGTGTTTTGCATGCAATGCTATGATTAAAAAGTTGTTTTTCTACTGTGCATGTTATCAGAATATCACACATCTCTGGGTTTAACTTCCCACAATCATAACTTCCACCTACAGAATTTGACTTTGCAAAGTTTGGCTGTCCAAAGACCAAGAAACCATTCTCTTTGGTTACTGTAGATTTTCCATTGAATATGTATCATATGTATCATAAAAAAAAAAAGTCCCTTACAAATGGAGTCCTCTCTCCGTATTTGCTCCAGAAGGTCATCTTCACAGTTTTCCTGTGCCCCGTCCGCTGGTCAAAGGTCTGGCAGGTCTGGAAGGGCGGACTGTACAGGTGCAAACTGACTGCGCACTCTGTGTGGCTGCCGTTTTCCACACGATGCAGGCCAAGGGAGTCTGAAATGTGCAAATGCACGAACAAGGAAAAAAATATATTCAGATAGCCACTGGAATGCTGTGAAATGGGGCTTGCGGGCCCGCTCCTGGCAGTGAGACCAAACATCACACCAGGACTCTGATGGCTTTGAGGAAATACTCAAGTCAGCAGAGATTTTAGGGAGAGAGACCAGCTATTCAAAGTCAGAACTGGCTGTTCCAGTTGCAGTCCTGTTTTGACAAAACCTGCAGAGGTTAGAAACTTCAGTATCACTGTGCTGTAAAAAGTGACACACTTAGTCCCGACTGTTTCAGAGATAATACATATCTCATGTGGGACAGAATGTGTAAAGAACAATTATTTTATTGTTCTGAACACATAATAATGTGAAGGTTTTAACCCATAGAGTGATGCAGGAATGAGGCCTAAAATGCGGATGTCTGATTCCTTTGTTTTGAAGTCAATGTTTTTTTTAATGGGTTTTGCCTGATCTGTGGTTAACACAAGCTCAAGATATTTTAAAGTTTTGTTCTACAATATCACAAAATACATCAGTAAATACCCCTCTTGCAAGTTTTGAGGATTTTCCGTGTCTTAAAAAAGGCGGTTAAATGGCTAAACGTTAGCTTTTTACTTCTGACAACTGCATTAACGCTTCAAAAATCACTAAAGCGGTGTTCATCTGTTGACGGTTATCTTGCTGAACAAAACATAAATGTTTGTTTGCCACAGATGTTATTTTTCTGAAATAATCCAAAACCCAATGGAAACGTGCCGTCGGCTTTGTGTCGACGGAACCGGTGCGATGTTAACTCCCGGTTTACAGCCTACAAAAAATATGTCATCCCTGCAGCACTTTGTGAAGAATCACTATCGCACCTTGCCCCCAAACAAACAAACAAACAAGCATTACTGTAACAGAATCAAGATGCATACATTTCTGAAGAAGGGTGATTCTCTCTTCAAAAAGCAAAGACACAATCAGCACACAGTCCGGTTTCTCACCGTTTATGTAAGCAACCTTGTTCTCCTGGAGAATCCTCTGTGACTTCTGGACCATGTCCCCTTTCGATTTATTGTCCGGCCAGTCAAACAGCGTCTCCTTCAGCTGACCCTGCAGCAGCTTCATGAAACAATGGGAGTCTGTGTGGTCGTGGATGCTGCTGCAAATCGTACGGAAAACGCACGAGAACACAGTGTCAGAACACTGAGATGAACACACTTCTCTTCACGACCAAAAAGAAACATTCAAAACAATCTGCCCTGTGAAGGATTTGATGGGATTCTGTCACAAGGTGAGACCATTTTCAGGAACTCCAGATCTTTTCTTCCTTGTGTCATGACATGCACACTGTTCCTCCAGAGCGGCAGATGCTGTCTCATTATATTCTTTTGAGTAATGACTCAACAATTGCATAACTTTTTTCATGCCGCTCTTGTGAATTACAGTTGTAAGGCTTGATGTAACCATCAAGCCTTACTGTTAGTGCTACCTGCTAGTCAAATACTATGTAATCAATCATGTAAAGACATAGATATTATCATGATAACAGACTTAAATGGATCAGTGCGTTTCCACAGGCGTTTGGTTCAGGTGGCGTTTGCTGACATAGTGAGACAAGCGACAGATATCATAAAATAACATTTACATAACTTCCTGTCTGTCTGTAGAACACAGCCCTCTCTTATCTCTATTGACTTGAATTTCCACAGAAGATAAAGAGTTAATAGCTTTCTGCAACGGCCATAATAACTTTTAATCGGCGGTGATCTGTGAGATCTTGCTGATTCCATATTGCGATGAGAAAAACACAGCGTGATCATATTTTGTAATAAACGAGCGTCTCACCTGCCGTGGCCTTCTCCCCAGCACAGAATCATGAGATTGAACTTCCCGTTGCCCTCGTCAACCAAGTTCCTTGTGTACCTGCAAGAGAGGACGATTTGTTAAAAAAAAACCCGAAAAGAACAGAGAGACATCCGGCTCATGAAAAAGTCTCAAAGGAGTCCAGAGATAAGCTTTCATTCCAAAATGTTAATTAAATGTTCTGGAAATGTTAATGTTAAATGGGGGGAGGGGCAGTAGAAACACATGCTGCTTTTCACTGAATAATAAATTCCAATAACGTAGACTCGTTTTTAGGATAAACTATCAATGTGAGCACCAATATTCAACCATTATGTGGTTTATTTGATAAAAATGTTAAACTTGATTTTCATTGAAAGAGCCACCTCCAGTATTCCACAGTGAACCTATCCTGGGATTACTTAGTTGTAATGCATCACTTCTATTGTTAAAAACACTATCTGTCCCCTGTATTCAAATCCTGGGTTGGGGGGGCAGACAACAAAATGGGGTCGTTACTGTTCATTGTATGTCCACACAGATAACTTGTCGACAGCCTGCGTCCTTGCTCGGACTGTAAATATTGGTATTTTTGTTCCTACTCCGTGCTATTCCGTCAGTGTCCAAATGTGTTCGAGGCAGCTGCGGCTCAATGTGCGGACACCAGGCAGTCCCAGTCAGTCGGGTGTGCGTCCGTTCTCGGTGTTGATTGGAGCGCCCCACCCCTCCCCTAAACTAATCAAAACACCGGAGCCATTGAAAACGTCTGAACAGAGCACCCATATTTTGTAGTGAGAAGCCACTCCGATGTGGAGATAAAACATTTAGAATAAACTGGTTTGTTTGAGGCTATCAGCTCAATGTGAATATGAATTCAGTTTGTTTCTCTCTCTCTCTCTCTCTCTCTCTCTCTCTCTCTCTCTCTCTCCCCCTCTCTCTCCCTCTCTCTCTCTCTCTCTCTCTCTCTTATCTTTAAATAACATGTGACCATATCGCTACTTTGTATGGAAACCACAACATGGTTTTCATTCAAATATAAGAACGATGTTATTTTTGTTTGTTTTTATGAAATTATAAACATTTAGACTGATAGTATCAATGTTATAAATGCATTCAGTAATTTGCAAACATAAATGACCCAATAAATTCCCTTTTTTTCAAGGGCAGTTTGTTTTTCTACAGCAGCCAGAAAAAGTGTTTTTCCCCCCCAATAAAAAGTAAAAGCAGCATGCATACAATATAGACACAATAAGAACAAAAGTAAAATATATGATTGGAAAACAAACAAACATTTGGACTATAGTTCAAACAAAAGCACAGTAGGCCAAGGTGACAGACAGCGACGGAGCAAGAGTTCAAAGTGCAGCTGCATCATACATGAGTAACAACTGATTAGTAAATTGCTGTACAATATCCGAAGCATTGCGAATCGCGAGCTTTTTTGTTGTTTTTTGTTGTTTTTTGTTGTTTTTACCTGTACTGGTCAAACTTTGCATATTTCATCCACTCCTGGGGGTTGCTCTCGTATGCTTCCATTATGTCTTGAACCTCCTCAACGTTGATGCTGTCGCTCTCGAAAACGTTGTGCAGGGTTTGGATCAGGTCGTCCAGAGTTTCTGGCTTCACCACCTCGGTGTGCTCCATCTCTCTGCGGAGGGGGGAGGGGGTTCTGTTTTCAGATAGTTCTGCTCAGTTAAAAACAACGGTTTTCTCTTGTACCAACTGTCGGCGAGTCCTTTACTTTTTATAGGCTGGGGCTGCAATTTGGGGGCGAGCTGGTGTTGGACTGTACCATTATGGGAGAAGGTGGACGCCCACCGCACGCAGTCTAATTTAAATACATTTTCATCATGAGCGCAGAATGAAATATTGCCAATAATAGAATTAACGCGGCTGCATCTTCATCACACTCGCTCACTAGCAATAACACATTTTCTATATATTTTCATTTTGCATGCTTTCACTCAAAAACATATGCAGTTATTTGCAGGCAACTTGGACTAATCCTCTCTGAGTCCAATTCCACCACGTTGCCACAAACACAGCCCCCCCCCCTCTCTCTCTTTCTCCCTGAGCCATTTCTCCAACAATAGATGTCCAGTCTCGTTTTCTGTTGTTTGTTGTGGGCGCTCTCCTCCAGAAACTCACTGCACAAGGTGTGTGTGAGGCTCACAAACAAAGTGGGGCTGGAAAAATACAAGTGTGTGTGTGGGGGTGGGAACAAGTTTGAATGGTGTCACATCAAAAAAAAAAAGGAGGATCAGGACAATGGGAAAGTAATTGATTGCAGATGCTGTGCTAGATTCAAATAGGCACTGGCACAGGCACACAGGTGTGTCCTTGTTGCCTCACTTAGGAATCTTGTCAAACGAGATGATTCCATAAAGACATGCAGGGTGTGAGTGAAACACTAGTAAACAATACTAATATAGCCAATTCAATTAAATGAGAAAATAAAACGTGAAAGGGATAGCCCACTGTCAGTGAAATGCAAATGTCAGAAATAAAAGTCTTCATTGGAGCTGCTGCATCTTGGGTATGTATCAGTGCACCGTTTCTATCTTCAGCCCCAGATCACTGACCTGAGGCCAGTAAGCAATAGGAGTAACGTTAAAAACGTAACTGTGGGACAGAATAATGTAGTAAATCAGATGCAAACGGCTAGTCAGTCAGTTGGGTGGGCTCCACTCGCTGAAAGTACAGAAGAGGCCTGAAGGCATGCAACATGTCAGTGCAAGCTTCCACAGTATTTGATAGAAGTTACTATGGGACATATGGTGTACATATAAAAAGTGTTTTGTTCCTACACGCTGTGGACCAGTGGTTGCTCAGAAATATATCAAATATCACTGCAGGTGTCAGGGTGCTCGGCTGAGACTTTCAGTGCAATGTCTTGCTCAAGGACACTTTGGAATGTTAGAGAAATCAGAGGGATAATGTTTGCTTGAGAGCTGCACACTTTTCACCCTTTTCAGAAAAGGATGAGTTTAAATCGTCAACATTTTACTGGTTACCACAGGTTCGGGTCCAAACCACTGTTAAAACTCAACTTGAGTCGGGAGGAAATCCTCTCTGGCTGAGGAAGACACGCAGGTCTTAAAAAGTAAAGAATGTTCTTTGCAATGTTCTTTTGCAAGTTGTCCTCTGAAATACCTCATCAACAGCAGATGTGCTGAGGCTCCACCTTGTGGCTAAAAGTTAAACCGACTCTACCCATTTAGTACCACTGATGGGGGATAGTAAACTGATGCACTTGGTTTGATGGAAAATTACATCTAAACTGGTTTTCCAAAAAACTAATGTAACTTTAATGTGGAAAATGAATGAGGTGCTGATGTTCATAGATTGCTTGAATCCACGTGTTGTTTCCGTCTGCTCATGCAAACAACAGAACAGTTATTGACTGGGGAAATGTCATTTCCATAAATAAAGAACAAAAAATATTCCCAACTGCAGACTTTTTATCATTTTATTTTGTAAGTATTTCTAAAACATCTCTGGAACAAAAATGCACGAAAAACTTCCCTTATGATTATTCTTTTTTTTTTTACCGTATTATTAAGTACAATCCTAGAGCTATTATGTGTGAATGCAGACTTTTGTTTGCGTATTCCCCTATTCTGCAATGTTAGATGATGATGATAATTATTCTTAATAATATATTACCATAGCATGCTTCACACATACAATGTTCACTGTGTTTACAACAAACTGTGGAAAAAACATTTGAATTGTTGAAATTGATGTGTTATTAAATACTAGAAAAGGAACAGTGACCGCAGGTGTTATTTGCTAAATAGCCAAAACAAACAGCTCATAAGTATCTATACATGGGCAAATTGATGAAAAATGTAATTGTTCTTTACATTTTTTTCACATTTTAGGGGTCAAAACTAGTTACCACTTAAAATTAAATAAATAACAAAAATAAATGGTGTAGCATAAATCATATACATAAGACCTAATCAAAACATTAAGAAGAACCAGGGGACGCAATAAGAATGAATACATCTTTGACAAAACACATGAAATTGAGACAAAGACACAGTCAAACCCAAACCACTGCATGGGTGATCCAAGTATCGCTCTTATCAGCAATAAATAATCACATTTCCCCTCTGCGGTTTGCAGCGCCAGACGGAGGTTCGGTTTGAACCACCGCGGCCGCCGTACCAGCAGGAGGAGGAGGAGAGCATGACTGGTCCTTTGACGTGGAATATTTCCGTAAAGAGACGATGGAGGAGTAGCAGCGTGTAGCTCGAAGCTATCCCGTATTACCCTTAAATCGAGACGGGATTTAGCCCTGAACCCTCACTCGGATCTGGGTTCACGACAGTCGACAGTCTTCCGCAGACTGACCCCTTTCTGTTCCCCCCCGCCTCCCTGCACTCAGCTACAGTCATGATTAAAGCCATTTTAATATTCAACAACCATGGGAAACCGAGGCTTTCTAAATTCTACGAGCATTATGTGAGTAACATGTTAATTATTCACATATCTTATCGTTGATAGAGGTTGTGACAGGCGGAAGTGAATTTAAAAAATAGCGAGCTGTTGCTTTTAAGACACTTTGTGTTATGTTTTTTTAAAGCAAAGCAAGGCGGATGTAGCTATACCTTTAAAAAAAAAAAAAAAAATGCGTTCATGTCATGTTGTCGCAAACTGTTTGAATGGGAAGGTGTTCAGGCTACTTCACAAGCGCCCCGTGATGTGCTGTTGTTTCAAACTGGCCCCCCGTGTATAAGATGTCAGTCTGAACCCTTTAAAAAATATATATGAATAATTAAACGTGCACGAGCCGAAGCGAAGCTATCGCATTCCTTATGGAGCCTGTGCGAACAGGACTGTGGCCAAATGATCGTGTAAAGTGCAGCTAGTGAAACCCAGCGAAGTGAGGTCACTGTTTGTGTCACATGACTTTAATAAAGCCCTCGTGAGGGTCTCGTGCTCTCACCAGCGGCCTTTCAGAGCTTCAATTAGCTCCATTGTCTTTAGCTTGGAGTGAAGTTTACACAACTGCTCCGCTGGGGAAACTCCGAGCAGGTAGCAACTATACCAGGTTATGTAATATCCTTTTGTTGGGCAAGCTGCGTTTGCTTGTTCTCATAATTGGATTTATATCTCACGGTTGGCTGCAGGCCCATTCTTTGATATTGCTGCCACAATAGCAAGGTGACTTGGACATAGCAACTTCATTAATTGGCAGCTGTGTGAACCGTTGGATGTCCTTTTAAAATAAAAATAAAAAAAGCTTAATATTAGCTGGCAACAACTTCACAAACGTGAGGTTTGAGGTTTCTTTGTGTGCACTGTGGTGAGCTTTCTTTATACAGAATGAGCAAAGTTGGAGGACCTTTCAGCCTCAGTCTTTTGGTCTCAGACTGATGGGAACAACATTCAAAAACAAACGGTCAGCAACCAAAGCAAGCGGCCCAAAGGCCTTGGTGGTGGAGCATTCTCATACAACACAGTTATCTTTGTGAACAGGCAAGGGAGAACTCTTCTTCTGCACAACAGAGACACGGTGAAGTTCAACAAAGTTCAGAGCAAAATGACTTATGCATGAATACAATATACTGAGTAGAAATATATACTACATAAAAAACTACCATTACAGTACCCAAGTACTGTACTCAAGCTAAGTACAAGTACTTTAGGGTAGAACTTGAGTATTTCCATTTTCTGATAGTTTATACTTTTACTCCACTACAAGTTAGAGGACATATTGTGCTTTGTACTACACTGCATTTATTTCATAACTCAAGTTACCAGTATCTTTGCAGATACTGTAGTACAAAATCAACAAACATATTATGATGTATTATTAAAGGGTAAGATAATTATATTTTGAAGCTATTAGTTTGTTTTGTTGTTGAATGCATGACTTTTACAACTTTTCACTTGTAGCAGTACTTCTACACTATGGTATTGCTACTTTTTGTCAAGTATGTATGTGAATAAGATGAAAACCTTTTTTTAACAATTATTTTAATTATCAATTAAACTTCTGAGCATTTTCTCTCATTTCTATAACATGTTAGAAAACTGAAAAGGCCCACAAACAACGTGACATCTTCAAATGATTGTTTATTTTGTCCGAACATCAATTAAAAAAACATAAATGTTTTTGTTAACTATCATTATTAGACAAAGAAAAGCAGCAAATATTTGCATATGAGAAGCTGGAGCCAAAAAGTGCAATACAATTAATCAATTAGAATAGCACGGTGTCTGGTCTAGAATTCAGACAGCAGGTCAGAAAACGTGTGATTGGAATTTGTCACAACTGTTTTATGAACAAATGATTAATAAAAAAAAAAAAAAAAAAAAGTGCAGGCACATTCCCTGCACTTAAAATCACGAGGGTAAACAGTGTTGTTTCAGCTAGCGTGGTTTAATATCTACTTATTGAGATTCAGGAGGATACACTGAACGTGATTGGATTATAAGCAGCCTATGTAGACACCATCTGTTGTATTAAAAGCCGAGGTGTCGGCTTTCTGGCTGGCAGGGTATAATGTTTCACACATTCTAGTAGCTGTGAAAACTGTTTTTATCAGTAACTTGCATAAATAAATCCAATATTTACAGCAAGTGATAAGGTTAGAGCTGCAAATATTAGCGGTATGAATATTGTGTGATGCTTTGAATTCTTTGCTTTGAACTTCTGTAACACTTTACTTAAATCTCCTTATTTAGTATTCAAAAGCAGTATACAAACAATCGATACATGCTTTGTAACGCACTATAATGAAGTTGTAAGCGACCATATCTCCTTCGGTAATATGAGGCCCCAGCACCAGAAACATCGTAACGAGAAGTTCTAAAAAGATGCTGCTGTTTTTCGGTCCGTGTCATCGATCTGTGAGTGCCGTATCCCTGCTGGTCCCATGCTACAAGTCACAGGACCGACACGGCCTTCTAGCAGGCTGCATGCTGGACCGCCTCCTCTGTCCTCGTGCTCGCTGATCTGTTCTGCACCCCGAAAGGACGTTGGCACCCTTTGGTGGGGCTGGCGCAGTGTTAGAGATGCACCCACAACAGATTCTAACCCCCTTTTGAGGATTTGAAGGTTACATTAAAAGCCTCAGACCACGTGTTTGTTGCGTCTTATAGCTTGTGTGTGCATTTTCATTGAAGGCGAGACACCCCTGACAAAAACATTGTTCCTCGTGCGGTGATCAATTTGGAGATTTTGGGCTATTTTGCCTCCATAACATGTCTTCTTTTAGACTGGTGGAACAAAAACATTCAAAATAAACGTTTAGTTGTTTATTTTTATTACTTTCTGTATTTGCATTTATAGATTTATTTATTTATTTTTCCTAAAGTTGCCTCATTTGCATATTTAAACTTAAAATGTCAGAAAACTTCTAATACAAAAAATAATCATGTAAGTAAAGAACTAGAAACATTCCGTGGTTATGTCTGAGTTGATCTAAACAAATGGACCTATTCCCCTGTAGAGTTTTGTAAAATATGTAATTTTACAAAACATATCTTTAAAGGCTCAGACTCTGAGCCAGAAATCTCCACTCCAGCAGCTCTTACATACACCAAACTTTCCAGCATCGTTACCATCTATGTTCTGAAGGTATTTTTGCAGATTGGTTTGTTCTTTTTTTTTTTTTTTTTTTCTCCAAGGTTTCAGATATTGTTGTTGTACAACACGGGGTTGCACAACGAAAAACAATTTGTTTTATTACATAAGAAAAACACACAAAAAGCAAAAATCCCAGCCTGATTCATTTTATTCCTAAAAACACGAGAGGGAAATTGATTATTTTAGCAAAGAGATATCCCCAAATCCCTCTGTTATAACCTTTGACTGTAATATGTCAACAAGATGACACAAGCTGAACCTGGCTTTATCCAACGTTCAGATATCTCTTATGGAAATGTGTGCACCTCAGCACATGTTTAATCAGCTACTGCCTCATTTGCATATTTAAGCATAACATTTATGAAAATCTTTTTATTGTATTTTCTGAATTTTCCTGTCTATCGATGGGTAAAATATTTCTTTTATTCACCTGGGGTGTCTCCCCTTAAATATCTATTTCCTACAATATGTTTTATCCCCAAAATGACATAATGCAGAACTCTGACATTTAGAAACCGACTGAGACTTGAATCTTTTGGCCTCTTGTTAGCTCTAGAAATGATTTGGTGCTTGCAAACAAGCCCGAGGATATTTGAGGTTTTGAACCTAACCTCGTCCATTAGCTAACAATAAGATGAGCCTGCCTTGGTTCAGCTGGCACAATGACCTCACTGTGTGTGTAGCCTGTGGGCACTAGTGTACGTTTAGATACGATAAAGAGAACGCTGAGTGTACTCATGTTTTTTCATTCAAAACTAATATGTTCAAGAAAAAGAGAGGCCAAGGGAACCAGTTATTCAAACCGCCAACCCAGTCTTCTGGATAGGCGTAATGAAATGGCTCACTGGAAGCAATTAGGTGCACAAAACAGCTCATTATTCAGCAGCTCCTCTTTGTTTTGACGCTCTCTGTTTCCCTGTCGTTCCCGCAGAGTGAAGACACGGAGCAGCAGATCATCAGGGAAACCTTCCACTTGGTCTCGAAAAGAGATGAGAACGTCTGCAATTTCCTGGAAGGTGGAATGTAAGCATGGCAACGATAACTCTGTGTTCTAAACGCGAGTGGAAGTAAATACTGGACTTGATCGTTTTTCGCACTGTGAAGGAAAGCTTTATGAATGAGAGTCGATGGTAACATCCATCCATCATTCATGAATGAGGAACAAAGTAGGTGTCGTTTTCCCTCTGGAAACATCAGCGCTCGCTCTTCCTCTCGCACTCATTTCCCCTCTCTATTGAGGAACATTTGGGCCACACCAAAGCCACATGGTTATTTTTTATTATAGTGTAATGATTAGGCAAGTACTGAGTGTCATCACATCCACCAAAAATCCCTTAATTCACATTTCCCTTTGTGTGATTACACAGGATTAGGCCGAGTTACATGTCCACAGTCACTGAGGTCAAACCAGCTTTCATATCTTTCATATCTTATGTTTCTGTGTCCTATCTTTACATGTGTTGACTCATGTCTGAACACATCTGTGCCATAACATGTTTACGGCATGTTAATGCACAGACGCATGTCTTCATGCCAATGCGCAGCTGCCGGTGATCGACCCGATGGTCCTGCGTGTAATGTATTCCCTCAGGACAGGTGTGATGTTTCCTTGTTCCCCTGTGTTTCAGGCTGATTGGAGGATCGGACTACCGGCTGATCTACAGACACTACGCCACACTGTACTTTGTGTTTTGTGTGGACTCCTCAGAGAGTGAGCTCGGGATATTAGACTTGATCCAGGTAAAATCTTGAGAAACCAAAGTGTATCTGTTACACTTTCCATGTTGTTTTTCTTTAACGCCTCCGTGCCAGCGACAGCCGTTATGTTTTTGAGTTGTCCGTCCGTTCGGTCCATTCTCGAGAGCCTAATATCTCAGGAATGCCTTCAGGGAATTAGGCACAAATGTTCACCTGGACTCAAGTCCCATTTTGGGCCATAACTCAATAATTAATATGCTGATTATGACAATTTATGTATATGACACAATTATCTAATAGGATGAAATGATGATATTTTGGCCAGACATGGATATAAACTGAAACATGACTGGTTGGCGGAGGCGTACGTCCGCAAGGTGGTGATTCCACTTGACATTACATTCTTTCTATTTTCAGGTATTTGTGGAAACGCTGGACAAATGCTTTGAGAATGTCTGTGAGCTCGACTTAATTTTCCACGTAGACAAGGTAGGAAATGCTTTTATAACAGTTTGTCTCTTTGTTGTGTTGCACATTAACAAAGCCGCTTGAATATTTGATTCTAGAAATTAGTCGTAATATTCAGCCTGATTTATTATTGCCTCATATTACAGCGTCACACTTGCAGTGGGTACGGAAAGTATTCAGACCCCTTTAAATTTTTCACTCTTTGTTTCATTGCAGCCATTTGCTAAAATCAAAAAAGTTCATTTTATTTCTCATTAATGTACACTCGGCACCCCATCTTGACAGAAAAAAAACAGAAATGTAGAATTTTTTGCAAATTTATTAAAAAAGAAAAACTGAAATATCACATGGTCATAAGTATTCAGACCCTTTGCTCAGTATTGAGTAGAAGCACCCTTTTGAGCTAGTACAGCCATGAGTCTTCTTGGGAATGATGCAACAAGTTTTTCACACCTGGATTTGGGGATCCTCTGCCATTCTTCCTTGCAGATCCTCTCCAGTTCCGTCAGGTTGGATGGTGAACGTTGGTGGACAGCCATTTTCAGGTCTCTCCAGAGATGCTCAATTGGGTTTAGGTCAGGGCTCTGGCTGGGCCAGTCAAGAATGGTCACAGAGCTGTACCGAAGCCACTCCTTTGTTATTTTAGCTGTGTGCTTAGGGTCATTGTCTTGTTGGAAGGTGAACCTTCGGCCCAGTCTGAGGTCCAGAGCACTCCGGAAGAGGTTTTCTTCCAGGATATCTCTGTACTTGGCCGCATTCATCTTTCCTTCAATTGCAACCAGTCGTCCTGTCCCTGCAGCTGAAAAACACCCCCATAGCATGATGCTGCCACCACCATGTTTCACTGTTGGGATTGTATTGGGCAGGTGATGAGCAGTGCCTGGTTTTCTCCACACATACCGCTTAGAATTAACGCCAAAAAGTTCAATCTTGGTCTCATCAGACCAGAGAATCTTATTTCTCATAGTCTGGGAGTCCATGTGTTTTTTGGCAAACTCTATGCGGGCTTTCATATGTCTTGCACTGAGGAGAGGCTTCCGTCGGGCCACTCTGCCATAAAGCCCCGACTGGTGGAGGGCTGCAGTGATAGTTGACTTTGTGGAACTTTCTCCCATCTCCTTACTGCATCTCTGGAGCTCAGCCACAGTGATCTTTGGGTTCTTCTTTACCTCTCTCACCAAGGCTCTTCTTCCACAATTGCTCAGTTTGGCTGGACGGCCAGGTCTAGGAAGAGTTCTGGTCGTCCCAAACTTCTTCCATTTAGGGATTATGGAGGCCACTGTGCTCTTAGGAACCTTGAGTGCTGCAGAAATTCTTTTGTAACCTTGGCCAGATCTGTGCCTTGCCACAATTCTGTCTCTGAGCTCCTTGGGCAGTTCCTTCGACCTCATGATTCTCATTTGCTCTGACATGCACTGTGAGCTGTAAGGTCTTATATAGACAGGTGTGTGCCTTTCCTAATCAAGTCCAATCAGTTTAATTAAACACAGCTGGACTCCAATGAAGGAGTAGAACCATCTCAAGGAGGATCAGAAGAAATGGACAGCATGTGAGTTAAATATGAGTGTCACAGCAAAGGGTCTGAATACTTATGACCATGTGATATTTCAGTTTTTCTTTTTTAATAAATTTGCAAAAATTTATACATTTCTGTTTTTTTCTGTCAAGATGGGGTGCTGAGTGTACATTAATGAGAAATAAAACGAACTTTTTTGATTTTAGCAAATGGCTGCAATGAAACAGAGTGAAAAATTTAAAGGGGTCTGAATACTTTCCGTACCCACTGTATCTGCTGTCACAGATTCACCGTTGTCACAGATTTTCAGTGACTTCCCAGATTTTGTGGTTGAGCAATTGGCCCAGTCATCATTGGTTTGTTAAATGACTGTACATCTTTTAAGCAACTTAAATACACGCTGCAATGTAAATTGTCCATCAATTGATAAATTAATTATTATTTAGCAACTCTTTTGATGATTGATTTGTAGTATTAGTAATTTTTCAAGCAAAAATGGCAAACATTCTCACCTTAGGGAGGACTTGCTGCTTTTCTTTGTCTTCTGTGATCTGATGTGAACTGAATATCAGTTATTTAAACAAGTCACCTAAGGTTAAATCAGTACATTTTGTACTGTTTCTATTTGAAATATCTTATTTTGCTCAGGTCCACAACATTCTGGCGGAGATGGTGATGGGCGGGATGGTGCTGGAGACCAACATGAATGAAATCATCACGCAGGTGGATTCCCAGAACAAGATGGAGAAGTCCGAGGTAAGCCTGACCCTCCCCCGTCCGCTGTATGCCCTGTACGACTTGACCCCAACCTCCGGTACTCTCTGCCGTTACCGTGCACCGTATGCGGGCATGTGTGTCTGCTGCAACCTGCATGCTCCTCTCCAGTAGTGACCCTCGTGGATGCTCTTCCCACCTACTCTCTGAGTGTTTGTGCTCCTTTTATTACTTTTTTCATTTTTCGGCCTCCCCGCTCGCTGCTGCACTGCTCTCAACATAGGTCAAGACTCAACATCTCCTCTCCTGTATCCCTCAGTGTGAAATACAGCATCATGTGTCATTGGAGACTTAACTGTACCATTGTCCAGAAGCTGTGACCACTGAATCACCATCTTCTAGTCATGTGGATTTGACATATCTTGGTGAAAGCAGGCTGGTTGTAGGCTTCTTATCATTCTAGAGGAGGATGTGAATTTAATTTATTGTTGGAGTGAAAATGCTTTCTCAGTGTCTTCTTGTTACATCTATAAGCCTGTGTCCTTGCTTAGATATCTGCTCTATGCAAGGACACGGCTTTGCTTTCCATACAGCTTCTGCGAGCAGATAAACATTTGTCTACTTATTGGAACCTTTTAATCAGAAAGACAGCCAGAGACAATTTCATGAAATCATTTCTGTTTTGCCTAATGTGGATTTTAGCCCCCGACGGTCCTCGAGCTTCAGTGGCTTTGTATTTAAATTGCTCACAAAGCACTGCGATGACGTCTAAACATTGAGGCAGAGTTATTGGGGAGTCCTTTTTTTCGACTTTTGCAATGAGAAACGCTCACACAAAGTTGTAGAAATTTGTTGTATTAACAAGGAGCTGAAGGGGCTACATTGTCAGGGTTTTAACTGGCTAACCTCACTTGTGCGCTCCAACATTTGAATTCAAGTTTAAGTGCTAACAAAGTAAACTTTTTCTAACAATCTGACCTGCATTGTGTGCTTTTAATGACACCGAATCTTCTTTTTGATTGATGTTCTGTAAGCAGAGTCCTTTACTGTTCTACAATCATCACAGCTGCTCCGTCCTTCCCTCTTGGACCTACCCTAGACCGCAGTGTGTGTTTTTCACACTGATGCTAATTCAAAATGGCATTGTCCTTTTAGAGGGCAGTGTCTGGGGGAACAAGGAATAAGCTGTTCCACTTCCAGACTGGCAAAGACTCATTAAGTGGCATTCATGTTTTTTTTCACCAAACTTTCTCAATTATTAGCTGTATTTCTGGTGATAAGACTGATTGTGGGCAAAGCTTCAGATCATTTTTGGCTTCAAAGATGTGGTCTATGATAGGTCCTTTCACTTTTTTTCCTGTGGAGATAAACTGTAATTACTTTAATCTGCTTTAACATTCCTCATTCCTCTTTTTCCTGACCCTGTCTAGTTCTTTCCATTCTTCTCTCTCTTTACAGACGTTTATCTTTCAGTCTACCAGGCAGGACAGGTAGACACAGGTACTGCTAAATTTACAACCAAGTACTGTAACCTTAACTGAAGTTTATCCCCTCCCCACCCTGAGACTCACCAAAAGGCCCTCCATGCAAAAGCAAGCTGACTTCACTAACATACAGTAGGAATCTTCCATGGCAGACCCAAAAATGTTTTGCCACCGGTGACTGTACAGGTGGTGGATAATAGAAACAGCTGACGGTATAATGCAGTCTATTACAATCGATAAATAAATATAATAAATACTATAAAGTTTGTAATGTTGAGCTGCTGTTACTTGAGACTGTGTCACAGAGATGGTTCTTCAACTCTATGCTAATTTCTGAAGCTGTAGTTTCTGGCGGTGCATTGTACATAATGTCAGGTGTACCTATTATATTGTCCACCCGCTGTAGTTTAAAGAATTCTAAATAAACAAGCTTGAGAGGTTTATTTTACTTTAATTAAAAATTATCCTGAATTGTTCTTAAGCCCATTTTTTTAAAAAACAAAAATATGATAATTATTTAATGAGAGTTGTCTTGTTGTGTGGCAAAAGCATGTGACTGTGACACTATCAAAACTTGTCCGGCCTAAAAAGACTAATTCAATATTTTGGGAAATATTCTCTTCTGCTTTCTTGCAGTTAGATGAGAAGATATGGTAGATTGTAGATATGTAGCTACAGATAGACTTTTTCGCTGTCATCTTATTTGATATGTATGAATTAATATTACTTACACTTTGATGGTGATCGCTGAAGAAAATAGACCAGATAGTGCCTCTCAACCGATACATCCGAACCAGGACAAAAGCGGCTTGCACAGTCCGAACCAGGACATGTTTATGTAGCTACAGCTAGCAGCTAGCTAGCTTAGGTAGATAAGAAGATATTGTAGATGGCAGATATGTAGCTACAGCTAGCAGCTAGTTAGCTTAGGTAGATAAGAAGATATCTGCTTCCTCCAGCCTTTGTGCTCAGCTAAGATGAGCTAGCTGTAACTGTTAACATAGCGCCACAAGAGTGGTATGAAGCTTCTCAGCTAAAGAGCAGATTAGCACATCACCCAAAATGATGACTTATTCCTTTAAGGCCTCACCCTCTAAACCACACGTATAATTTGCCTCAAACCAACAATATAAACCCTCTACTGTAGACTTTTTATCCCGTTTCTCTCACAGACAGAAGATGGAGTGATGCTCCAGCATTCTATAATTGTAACTTACATAGACCAGAGAATCGAGCCATTGTCATGTGCTACACAGCTGGTGTTGCTATTTCTGTACATATTAATCACCCAGCGTTTGATTAACAACCCAGTATTATGGACTTGCACAGTGGGTCTCTGGGCTACCCCATATATATATATATATATATATATATATATATATATATAAACTCCTGAATACTGAGCCCATGTGCTGGATCAGCATTCCTCCCGGTATACGCCACGGTCGTCTTTCCCTCTAACACAAGTCTCCTTGATTCCTGGCAGAAGGAGGACTGCCCCATAAGACAAACGGTCCATTGAAATAACCTTGTGAAAACAAGTGAAGTGGACGAATCCACATTCCAGACGTAGCTTCTGCGCGTCATATCACTAAATGATTTACGAGGCTGCTCGTTTGAATGTGCTCCTAATGGAGGCAATGAGAACATACAGCTCTCTAGGGTGGCTTAAACCCTATGGGTCATTTTTGGGTCTGTCTGCTGAAGATTCATTCGGGGGATCTCTAACCACAGTGACTCTCAAATGTCTGCACGTACACTTGAGACGAAAACGTCATCATTCACTCTCCACGGATGTTTTTTATTGTTCCAAAATAAAGCTAAACTACCCTGATGCTTTCCTTCAAAAAAAACGCTCAATTGCTCTTCAACGGTTACATATTGAGATTCATTGTGTTAGAGTGAAGTGCCCCCCTCTGTCCCTGAGAATAGATTTCCCATTGTACTTTAGTACTACCAGACTCTCAGCCTCCTCATGTCATCAATAGTTAACACTTTAGCTTTGTAAATGGCACAATATTCTCATTCCTCCACTCACAAATATGTATTGAGATAGCTACAGTCGTGTGTAGTCTTTTCCAGAAGTCATCGAACCCACTAAAAATACAGTAACACCTGTATTGTTATGGCTAATAGTATGTTGACATGTTTTCAAAATATGACACAGACATTCTATACAAACCTATCTATCCAAACATCATTTCCGTCTTCACATCCAAATCCATTTTTTTCTTCTTTACCCAGTTCTCTCCTTGCATTTTTGCCCTTATCGGTCCTCCAGAGTCCGGTGGGTTCACTTTCCAAAGCAATGCAGCCTTTTGTCCATTGGATGAATGTCCAGTACTTCTCAGTACATCAAACTTTAGTGAATGGTCTAGTACAGTGTGTCCTCACAGTTGATTCATAATTGCCTCTGGTTGTGATGCAAGTCATTATAGAACCAACTAGTGCATGTGCATATGAAGCTATGAAGGCATCTGAATGTACATTTGCACACGTTGTCTGTCTTAGTCGCTGTCGGTGCTTTTGCATTTTGTCAGCAGTTGACTGTTTGTTTTATTTATATTTTTTGTCCAGTGCTTTGTTTAGCACAGTGTGTGTCTGATGTCCACTGTTCAGTGTGTTGTTGTGTAACGTGTTTTTTTTTTTTTTTTAAATCCACTGATTTGTATCTTATCAACCCCTCCGTGTGCGTGCATGTGTGTGTGTGTGTGTGTACAGGCCGGTATTGCAGGAGCGCCTGCTCGTGCCGTGTCAGCTGTAAAGAACATGAACCTGCCGGAAATGCCCAGAAACATCAACATTGGTGACATCAGCATCAAAGTGCCAAATTTACCCTCCTTCAAGTAGTGGCAGCGAGACCGTGAAGCTACAGATGTCAGCCAATGTTTACCGCAATGCAATCTGTTTACCAAAACCTCAAATTACTAACTTTTATCCAAACTATACAGCTTGAAGGTACTGTTTGATTTGACACTCCTTGTTTTGGTGTTATCTCTCTTTTTTTTTTTTTTTTTTCCTGTTAAAGAAAAAAAATGAAGGTTTTACGTGTTTTGTTTGTTCTTTCTGTTGGAAGGAAAAATGAAGTATTTATTTATTTGTGGTACATTCCTTCTGCCTCGATGGAGGTTGGTTCTCGACGTTCAGCTGCTACAGAACAGATCTGTCAGTTTGTAACTGAAATGATTTCATGTTTACTTAAAGGAGAGAGCGTGGCAGGTGGTGACGTTGTGGGACAGTCTTATTGGTTTGATAATTCCAGACCAGAGAAATGAATCAGAGGAAAAAGCATGAAACTATTTTGAATTCCAAATGGCAACAGGTCTGCCACAGTATTGACAGTCATGCATTACAGCTCGTTTGTAAAATCAGTGCAAAGAATATTGTATTACAGATCTGCTGTGACAGAAACATGGATATATATGCTGAAATGATTTTCTCTTTTCTTATTTGTACGCAAACTATTTTTAAATGATTCATCATGTCTTATCAAATGATTATCTTAATTTGAATCTGTGCATGACTTTTTTTTCCCTCTTCTTTTTCAACATAATAAACTGTCAGAACTCAACCTTTGTCTTTGCCTTATTTGATATTTACTCTCATCTGATATTGTCAATATGGTATACTTAACAGGCCGTATGTCTGTAGATGCAGCATGTCATTACGTCGTCCCTGATGATGATGCTCCAATGATGACTATTAATAATTAATTAAACATCACTTATGCTTTATACATCTGTTATGAGCAGTTCTTAAGAATACATTTTAGGTTGTGAAAACTCTTTGCCTGGTCAGCCCATTTCCACACTTGTAGGAAAGGGCTGCATGTGATCCATTAACACCTTATGAACACTTGCAGATCAACTGTAATATATATATATATATTTCCAAAAGGAAAGGCTTAACACCAGCCAATGGGGCTTTTGTAATAACCTGGCAACCCATAATTTGTCTTAATGTCTCCACAGACCTATAAGGCATTAATAAATAATTTATGAACCATAACAAAAGCATGAATTATTACATAAGCCCTTTATAAAGGCTGATTTATTAGAGAGTAGTACTAGTAAGCAGTGGTGGAATGTAGCTAAGTACACACTTAAGTATTTCCATTTTATGCTTCTTTATACTTCTACTACTTCTACATTTATGATGGAAATGTTGTAATTGTTACTTTGCCACATTTATTTGTCACACCTTTACATATAAAAGACATAATATGCATACTTGATAGGATGCAGTACTATAATACTAATATACCACATTGTCAAACAAGAACAATGAAATGCTTGTTAGTGACAACTAAATAATATATTATGAACTTTGAAAAGAGCCATTTTACATAATGAGTCCAATTACTTTGAACACTTTCTGATAATACTTATGTACTTTTACTGAAGTAACATTGGCTTTTATTTGCAATGGAGTATTTTTATTTTTAAAATATGATATATGGTACATCTACTAGCAGTGAGATTATTAAATGTAACTTAACCTAGCCTTTTTAAAACATTGCTTTAAAACAACAATGATTCTTCTGCTGTCGCGCATTTGGTGCCGGCTCTGTTTGTCCATCGCTTATTCCGTAGTGACTCTTGTAGCAGATACTTTATCGTGCGCAGCTTTTATGCAATTTACGGTGCAACGAATTATATTGCGTGGTCACAGTGGCTTTAATATACAGTTGTTGTCGACACTGTTGTGTTAGAAATACACCAGTGACACACTTTTAAACGTGCATTCATTTGTCTCTATAGTTTATCTATTTGTCTCGATCCTGCATTTTACTGCGCATTATCGCGCAGCTTTGACTGTCACGTGTGTCATCTCGTGACATCAGGAAGAAGGAATGACAACAGAGAGGATGCTGCTGCTGCTGCTGCTTTGACACTTTTCAACTCTTCATTTTCAGAAAGCAACAGACAATAATGACTTCTTTTTTAAAAGAAACACAAAGGTAAGCAGCTTTTATTTTTGTATTTACAGAAAATAAATCCTTCCAGTAACGTTATCTTACGTGAAGAGAGCTGTAGCCAAATCCCGAGAAAGGAAGGCATCCTCAAAGTTACCGGTATTGTGATCTGGTGCATACATGGACCTTAGCAAATACGTTACACTAGCGTGGGAATGACTTACGTTACTGCTGTCCTCATTAAGCTGCGTGTTAATTCGGTTTTCTTGCTCTCTTACTTCTAATTCGAAGTAACATTTAACTTGTCAGGAAATGTCCTTTTAGTCTATTTCCTCTTCTAATAAGACTTTGTACAATCAACCACAATATTTCAGACGGAAATGTAAATTAAGTAAAATCTTAAAGGATACATTTCACTTTGCAGACAAAAGGTTTTAGACTTACAATTTGTTTCCAAAACATGTAGCTATGATGCACTGTTTTAGGTTAACTAGGTTGCATTGGGCAATCAAACCAATGAAATACAACACATGCCATGTGTGGACTAATGTAATAACGTCAATGTAGTGTTTTTGCGTGTGTGAAAACGTCTCAAATGTATCAGAGCTGGTCATTTGTATTACATCAATGTTTGTAGTGCTACTACCTGACTCAAATAGGAATTCTCCCTTCTGATGGAGTGTATTAGCTTTGTGGTACTAACTTAGTTTTTAATGCACACATGTACAACTAGTGAAATAGCTGTGAAAACAGTAGGGCTGCACAATTATTTGGAATTTCATTATGGGCTACTGCATATTTCAAATCACAGGAGGTGCACATATTTGTTTAAGGCGAAATGTGTGTCAAAATACCATTTTAAATTAAACATTGTCGTGCTGCAGAGACGTCTTATCCTACACATTATATCCATAGAAAACATCTTTGTTTGGTACAGACAAAAATCAAACCATATTAATTTTCTTATGTTTTTCAATTCCCTCAAAAATCGCAAATCATATCCCTATTACAATATCAGTAAGAAAATATTATAGTTAGATATTTCTTTCAATATCGTTCAGCATACTGCCTGTTTACTCTGCAGTAGCTATTATGTCTGTGTGTGAATAGTAGTCTTAACATTTATGTACACACGTGTACCTTATTTTAGGGTGCTCTCTTCACTCTTCACCCTCATACTGATGCTTTTATCCCCGTGGAACCTATTGCAATATATAGAAGACACTTGTATTTGCTGATGCTGTATGTTGTCACTGCTGCATTGTTTATAGCTGATGTCTGTTTGTTGTCAATGTATAGAAGTGCCTTTTGAAATGCAATGACAGCCAGCGTGACACACCTTTCATGTATGACATCATACTCTTGGCAGTGAACCGTGATTCTGTTTCTTAACTCAAAAGATCTGAGCGCTTTCTGCGCCGCTGTCATTAACACTCCCGACTCTTCTCTCCGAACACAGCATCAAAGAAGCGGTGACTTTCATCAACGCGATTGATGTGAACAAGTTCTCCAGGCTGATCTCCCGCATCATACAAAAGCTTCATCTGAAGGTGCGGAGACTGCGCACACTGTTAACCGAGCCAAAGACAAGAGGCTTTTGAGGCTTTTTGCTGCAAAGCTGTAGTGCCAGAGAGAGCAGTGCATGCATAATGACTTACTGGAGCATCAGTCACACACTCTGCTCTAATGAATGCACACGCATGCCTGGCCCTGTGGAGCTGGCTGTCAAGGTGTCAGTCATTAATGCTAAGAACAATTTGTCTGTTGAGTTCTGTGTTTTGATTCGCTGAGAGAAAGTAATACACCGTTTGTTTAATGAGAATATTTATAAAAAACACATTGACATGTCACAGCCTGAAAAGCACAGGTGTAACCAACTACATTGAACTGGTTTGCCTCACTGGTATGGCTTCCTGTTGCATGGACTAAGTAGAGCGATTGTTAATGTTATTAGTTTAATCTGTGATGGTTGACTCCACGGTGGTTGTTCAAATGTCAGATTATATTGAATTTGAACTGTTAGACATTGTATTCTGGCTTCTGACACACACACACAATCTATTCTAAAAATGTTTCATATTTTAGTATTTTGAAAAGTTGTTGACTCTCAATCAGAAATTAGCATTTCAATCATTCTTTCCAGTTCTTGAAAACGCAGAGTAAACCATGTCTCCTACACAGGGCGAGCGGACATTCAGTGACGAGGAGGAAGAGAAACTTCAGGCTGCTCTCTCATTGGACAAACAGGCTCTCAATCTAGTCCTGGAAACTGCTGCGTTTATACTCGAGCAGGTGGGGGGGGTCATCTGACATTTGTTACAGTACTGTGAGGGTTTCATCTCATTTTTCTTCATAGTGTAATTTTATTAGGTTTGAGTTCTTTTTAAAAAATGATTGTTCTTTAATTCTTAATATTTAGTTATTAATTATAATTAATAGAAGGATTCAACATTAGGTATTAGATGTGATGGAGGAGGCCAAGTAAGTAAAGAAAAAGTTTTACATTACTTTGGTATTGGGAAAGAAATAACATGACTTCAACCCACTTCAGTATGTTGTTTCAGTGCAGACAGAATAGTCTGTCCACTTGATATTTACCTCCAGGGCTTGTTTACATTACTCACAAGCATTTAACTGAGAAAAATCATCAGAAAACAAAAAGATAATGTAGTAAATGACCATGCAAAGTTACTATTGCTACTTTGCTTAAGTGCATATTTTCAGAAAGAAAGTGAGACGGGTAGAAATTGGCATGTAGCGTTTGTGCCTGTTAGTGTGGATCTCCTTGTGAGTCCATCTCTCCAGCTGGGGTCACTGTTGCATCATGAGTTGTTCTATTGTAGCAATGTTGAGTGTATAGAGTTGAATAGGAATACGATTGTAAGAGGGAACTGTTGCACCGGTAAGACACGGTTAATGGTATGTAAAGTCATTCTAACCCGTATCTCCTCTCGTCTGTAGGCGGTGTATCATAACGTAAAGCCGGCCTCTCTGCAGCAACAGCTGGAGGCGGTTCGTCTAAACCCAGACAAGGCCGAGGTGTTCTCTCAAACCTGGGCCGCGGCCGGACCCCAGCTGGTGGAGAAACTAAAGCAAAACACCTTTGCTCCGAAGAAGGTGAGGCTGATCAACAACTGTATTTGTTCATCCGTTGTTAACCATCAGACAGCTGTAGCTCTGAACTTTGTCTATGTCTACTAGCACAAACCTCAACTTGAGCATGTTGCTGACGTGTAAGATTAATCCTCTGCCAGACACTCTGTTTCATCCCTTTGAGCGGAGCACTGTTTAGTGAGAACACATTATAGTCACTCCATACTAAATTGAGAATCAACACGATCCATATTAAGACCGACCGGATTTTGTGTGAATTCATTCCAGCTGTGTTTGGCTTACAAAGAGTTCCTTTGCAGCTCACAAGTTGTCGCATCCATTTTTTTAATTCCTCCCTATAAGTTGATTAAGCACTGACACATCAAACGGCATTCCTTACAAAGTCAAGGGAATTAAGATCTAACAGCCAGTAAATAAGCAGCGTGTAACCATCAGTCACATCAGACTTCTCACCTGCCCGGGTCTCGCTCGTCATCTCTCTCTTCCCCCATGAATTTGTTGCTGCCAGCAGAAGGCCGTGACAGCCATTGATCCTGGAAAAAAAACCTCTGCTACATTTTGACTTCATAACTTACATGTATATTTTTTTCTAATCCACTTTGAACAGAAAGCAGGGTTTTGAGACTTTGAGTAGGATGAATGGCTCTTTTATAGGATTCATACCTTTGCCACCTTATAACAACTTCCTCATGTTAGCCTTATATGATACGTCATGCAATTCTCAGCCGCTGTCGGTGTTTCAGCCGGTGTTTTAAAAGTGACGCTTTTTAAACACCGATCAAACTAGAGGTTAAAGGGACAGTTCACCCCAAAATAAAAAAATACATATTTTTCCTCTTACCTGCAGAGCTATTCATCAATCTAGATTGTTTTGGTGTGAGTTGTCTAGTTTTGGAGATATCAACCATAAAGACATCTAACTTCTCTCCAATATAACGGGGCTATATGGCACTGGGTTTGTTGTGCTCAAAGCGCCCCCCCCCCCCAACAAAACATTAAAAAAAATTAACAGCAAAGTCTCTTTCCAGAAATCATGACCCGGTTTCTCAAGATAATCCACAGAACTTGTTGTGAGCAGTTTTATGTCGGCACTATTTTCTTTCTATCGAAGTACACCCACCAACCGCATTGCTGCGCAGAAGGAAGCGTGCATCTACTCATGGACGAGAGGCTCATGGCAATGCAAGACGGAAACGTTAGCGGCGTCCTCCTCGGCTGAGCTGTAACGCTAGCTAGCTCAGTGGCGCTAGGTGAGCGAGCAGTATCGCTCCTCCTTCAGCGCGGTGATACGCGCATGAAAACTTCTCACAACAAGGTCTGTGGGTTATCTTGAGTAGCCGAGTCATGATTACTGGAAAATTACATTGCTGTTGAGTTTTTCAAAAATATTGTTTTGCGCTTTGAGCACCACAAGCCGGATGCCATATAGTCCCATTATAGTGGGGAGAAGTTAGACATCTCTACGGCAGATATCTCCAAAACTAGACAACTCTCACCAAAGCAATCTAGATAGATGAATAGCTCTGCAGGTAAGAGGGAAAATATGTATTCTTGGTTTTAAGATGATCTATCCCTTAAGATAGATGGAGAGAAATTATTCTCAGTACTGGGGACAAATCAATGTTTCTAGCTCCACAAATAACAACAAGATTTAACATTGTGTTTTGTGGGTAATTGGTTGCTTTTTAACAAATGCGTCTTCCAATACACAAACAAATACCAACTGATTTGAACGAATGCAAAACAATATAACGCATAAATGCAACCCAACTTGAACAAATATCAGTATTCTACTTATATAAACTTTTTTTGTATTTATTTATTGCACCAGTCACGTGACATTTGTGGGTTAGATTGCGTTTGTGCGTGGAGTTTTGAGACTCTTCCTCACAGGCTCCGATCCACAAATGCATGTTGCGTTTAAAGGGCGGGTGGAAGACTCGGACGTCCAGACTTTGATGCTAAAGAGACTAATGTCTCTCCATAACGATCTTTGTTGAGGTGCACTGCTCACTGGAATTACCTTTTCCCGGCTGGACTTGACGGGACGTTATTCTTTATGTTGCCCACTGCCAGTTGTCTGATTGATTAGCCCCGCTGCCGTTTTAATCAACGTTGCTGCTTTCAGGAGAATGAAGACATTTGTCTTTGTCTGCGGTGAACAGTGAGGATACCCTTTCGTTCCCTGCTTTCTTCTTCTTCTAAATGAGTGAACTGCTGCTGGGATTGTGCCACACAACACACCCAACAAAAATATTAACACGATGGAGCAAGGAAATGCAGACATAAATCAGACTGGATTTCCATTTATTTTATTCCCAGAAAATCAGTAAGACATCATTGAGCTGCAATGTTTATTCATGCTAATGAGGACGCTGTTCCTGTGCTATTAATGTGGCCCAGCCTTTCCCCACCTCACACCTGTCGTCTGATGCCGCGGAAGCACCCATTAAGTCACACATGGTTTATTATTACGGCCTCTCTCTGCATCATAAAACACTTAACTGGCCTGCCTTGACTCACTGCTGCTAATCTATCACGCTGCAGCTACAGCTGGCTGGGATTTATAGTCTGACAACAGGCAGCTTGGAAACAAGGTAGCTTAAAACTTTGAGAAGTTCTACAGAGTTAAATTGAATGTCTATGGTAATTACCATATTCATAAGTGTGGTAATGCAGTGGCTGCTTATGATGAGTTTAGCTCGAGGTCACCTGGTCAGTCCATGGTCAGCTAACGAGCCAATAATAAGCCGTGAAATGTGTCTTGGTTTGCTGTCTCGTCTTTATAAAATAGGAACACAAAAGTCAGAAAGTCACAACTTATCTTGAATAAGCTCAAAATAAGTCAGAAAATCTGGAACAAATCATAGCTGCAAGAATGAATCAATTAATAATAATCAATTAGTCCATTCATTGAAGAAAAATGAATCTTTAGCTATTATGATAATGGAGCAAGCTAAATAAAAGGCCAAACATTTGATTCAAGGTTGTCAAATGTGCCAATTTGCTATATAGTAAATTTAATATTTTTGTGTTTGGGACTGTTGATGACATCACCGTGTACTCTACTATCTTGTGGTGTTTTTTAGACCGATAGCGATTAATCAATTATTTGTGAAATAGTCTTTATAGACAGCACTTGACCAAATACAACAGAATGTCTCGAAGTTAATGAGTACTATAATTAATATTTAACAGTTTGATCTGCCTATTTTCATTTCCGATAATTATGTTATATAGTGCTTATGAAAATCATCGATTCCAAAGAGCTTTGTATGAATTAAACAATAGTAATGTTTGAGTAGCGATGAAAAAATGTCAGATGGTGAGAGCTTGAGGAAAAAAAGCCCAAATGCAATATCAATATGCTCATAAATATACATATATTTCATTAGGAATTCAGCTTGGGCTGTTATTTTGTGGGAAACAGCTTTTCATAGAGTCTAAAAAAAAAAATGTGTCAAGGGCATCTATTAAATTGACTTAACTGGCTCTGTTTGTGTGTTGCAGCTGGAGTATGTCGGCTGGCAGTTGAACCTGCAGATGGCCCAGTCCAGCCAAGCCAGACTGAAGTCTCCCAGTGCTGTCCTCCAACTGGGGCTTCGCAATGAAGACTCTGAGGTGTGAACCGACACACACATGTGTACATACACAGACTACACAGCTGTCATTAGTTTTCTTGCTCTGCTTCGCGAATACTATTCACACCAACTACTTTAAAAAAAACAAAAAAAACAACGTATTATCCAGAGTGGACACAGAGAACTGTTCCCTGTTTATGCCAAATGAGAAGCATCCCCAACCTGTCCCTCTTTCTTTGCTAATGGATGGTAATCCCACCGGTGTCTGTCTTGACCCAGAGGTAGACGCACATCTGGCTGCAGAGTAACTGTAGTGTAAAGACCAGAGATCCGGGAGCTTGTTATCAGAAACCTCCAGGGTGTTTTTGTTCTCTGGGGGCTAGATTTAAACTTTATCCAGGCTTGTTGACAATACGTTTTAGATTCAGTCTGTGTGCCTTATTAGTGATGCTTATATATGGTTTCCTTTATATTCTCAGTACTCAGTCTTTGCATGGAGTCAATTTAAAGCAGCATATTACATAAAGGATTTTGGTGCAGCATCCTTGCCCTAAATATTTGTATGATGAAAAGAAAAAGAAAACACCAAGGACCATGATACAAATATGGTTTTGACTTTAGATTTCCCTGTTCCCATTCATTGGTATTCAGAGGAGTTTGTTTGGATCCCAATTAGCTAATGCTGTGCAGTTACTCTAATAGCCAAGACCTCATGAGCCCCCCCTCACTCCCTTCTTTCTTTTCCACTGGGAGAAGCATTGCTCTGTTGCTGGAGCAGAAGGAGTGAGACCTCACCAGGCTATGACTTAATGTTTCCTTTCTTCTCGACCTCAAATGTGCCCACATACTGAGCCAGATAACACGAGTCAAGTGCCCTCGATGCTTTGACAAACATTTGAACTGTATTCTGCAGACTGTAAACGCTGCACAGGGCGGCTGTTTGTTGGCTTGGACGCTGGAAATCATTTTAGTTATGACTGCTTTTTTTTTTTTTTTTTTTTTTCAAAGCAGTTTTGGTCTCAAAATGGTGTGACTGATTATGCCCCGAAGCCTGGATAGCGTTGTTCCAGCTGACTAGTCAAGTGTCTTTCTTTCAGGCTGCTTTGTATTCAGTCCCCAGAGAATGCCGGCTCAGCCTAAACGTGGAATTAGGCATGACATATTCGAATCGCTGCCGTCCTAAAATGCGGGCCTATAGGCTTGAGCGAGGAAAAAAATATATATGTTCTTTGTGAATGTGACAGCAGTTTGAATTTTTTTTTTTTTTCTGTTTTGGGCTTTTTTCTGCTGTGTTTTCCCGAGGCTAGGAGAAGAGGCATTAATTTATTTAAATCCACTTACACAATTCCCCTTGTGGGAGGAGATAGCTCGGGGGGGGGGGGGCTAAAGCAAGGCTGGTTAAAAGTGTAGAGGACCAACTTCACTGAGCGTCGCCGGGGTTCACCTCCTCCGGTGAACTGCAGGGGGCACTGTTGCCTCACAGATCGGAAAAGCGCCCCTGGTGGGCAGTAAAGTATCTGAGAGATGTATAGGATACCTGTTTAACTTTGTGTTTTGAGCATGCATGTTTTTTATTTTTTTCATTTCCACCAGTGTGTTTTCAAATCACAGTTTCCTGACAGTAACTTTGTTTCCTACCAAAAACTGGGAAAAAAGGGAGAAATTAGAGGATAACAGGTGTCAGGGGTCAGGGGAGGTATGAGGGGAAAGGGAGATGGAGTGAAAACACATAGGGAGTAAAATAAAGGGGATGAAGAGGATAAAGGAAAGAAAATGGAAGGAGAGGAGAGGAAAAGGCGAGGGAGGCCGTCTGTATATTATTGATTGCGTGGAACCGAGGTGGCGAGTCAGAGACTCCCCCATCTGACCAGCCTCCTGCTTCATTAACACTCTCCCCGAGGAGGAAGAGGAGGAGGAGGACTGCCCGGGAGCTTTTCACATCTCCTTCATGTGACACATGGTATATCCACAGTACAGTGGAGGAGATGTTGGACGACATATTTGGACAAATAAGGGGACCGCTTTTATGTTTAGATTTTGTTTTCTGTTTTCATTGAAGCATTTATTGTCGGGGGGGGGGGGGGGGGTATTTCTTCTTTATAAAATTCCGCCCTCTGCCTCCAAAACGACATATATTGAAATTATAGATCACTGTTCCTGTTGCCGTGCAGCAGTCGGCGTATAACACCCCACACAGGGGAGCTGCTATGTCTCTAAACTGAATTTGTATCTGCTTCAGTGGAAAGTTGCTGTGCATCCGCGCAGTGGTGAATGTCCTCACCCTCACCCCTTAATGTTTCAAGGGTGAGATCTCCAGTTTATCCCCGTAAGGCTGGGTGGGAATGCCCTCAATCGTTGTAGGTATGACGCCAGACCTGTTGCACAGCTCGTCTGTTATCCCAAAGGAGAAGCAGCTGAGGCATTAGAAGGATCTGAGCATGGAATTGAAGGAAGAAGATGAGGATGCAGGGAAAGGTGATGGGAAAGACGCAGAAAAAATAGGAATGGGGATGAGGAAAATTGGAGGATGATAACAGAGAGATGACATTGGTAAAGGATGAAGAGAAGGATGGGTATAGGCGTCAACAGCAACAACAACAACACTAATACATGTGGAGGAGAGTGGGGGATTTGTGTCAATTTCCTTTGTTAACTAGAGCAGTGCCCGTTGATAATATGGCTGTTCTAACAGGAGCTTTTACAAGAACTGCTCATACAGACAACTTCACACTCAACACTGCGCTTCCTTTGGTCCTCAGGAATACACCTGCCATGACATAGTTGCGTCACACGCTCGGGTCGTGACTTCTCACGGTCAGATACTCCAGTGAAATGCACTCTGTTCACCTGGGGAAGACTTTACCGTGAGGCAATGTAGGCAACCTGATTTATTATGATGTTTACATATGAAACCTATTGAAGTTTGTTACTCATTGTACCCAGAAATAACTTACAAATGGCCCAACATCATGTAAAGAAAATATGCAACTCAACTGTATACTACTTCCTGTGTACTTCTACCTCAGAGGGAAGCATTGTAGTACTACATTTGCTTGACAGAGAAATGTTCCGGGGTTATGTTGCAGATTCAGACTTGACTTTAAAAATATAACAATTGAAATGTGGAGCCATAATATTCTTATCGTATTAGAATTGAAGGCTCTACCTTGAACTGACGCTCAGTAAATGTAGGTACATTGTGCTGATAATGCCACTCTTTCACTCTTCACTTGAGTACAAATTGTAATGCAGGATTTTTACTGTGTGGCATTAAAAAAAAAATGTTTTGAGTCGGTCTACTTCTTCCACCAGTGCCAATACCAACATTTAGAGAGAGGGTAAAGAGTAAAGCAAGACAGTGTTGGCCTGGGCCCCCAAATCACTAAATACGCACCCGAAAAACCCAAAGTCACTGATCTGACCAGCCACAAACATTGGTGGAATTCACTGAGTGGAGATTATTTCCAAACATGCATATTGGTCGTTTGTTTTGACATAACCCCTGCGGTTGTAAAACAGAGCATCGGTTTAAATAGCAGTTATTTTGCTGGTGGTAACGTTATTAGTGTGATGAGTTTGTATTTCCCTGCTGTAAGACTCGATACTGTCTTACTGCGGGTGGAAAAACACACCCAAGTACTCCCGGTTACACCGGTTTGATTCTGCTTCCTGTTGGCTATACGCTTGTGTTGTCTCCAGGGAAGTGAAGAAGAGTTCTGTTGTAAAGCAAGCTGCGGATGACATGCTGGACTCAGAGCCCTGAAGCCCCGCCCCCGCTGCTGAATCGCTGTTCGCTTGCTTGTTCAAAGTTCCTTTTTAATATTGAACACATCGCGTGTCCAAATTGCACCAAATTGGACAGAAGCACTCCCTCGGGTCCCCGGCTAAACACCCGCCAAATGTGAAGTGGATCGGATCAATGGTTCTCTAGATATGAGACATCTGGAAAGACAGAGAGCTGTATAATTGGATGTGAACTATGGATTAATGGCAGTATAGTAGAAGTACTAATAGTAGCATGTTCTGGATGGAATGTCTCTTCCCCTCAGGCAGTTACAGTTGTATCAATGATGTGCAGAGTTTCCCTTTCATTAAAACACTAAAGAAGCATCAAGAATCTGTGCTTTTATCTGTGTTTTAAGCACACTATCCAGACTCGAGTTCCTTTCCAACAGCTCAGACCTTGAAATAGAAGTAGGCCTGCACAATCTACCCATTTTAATTATGAGCTGTGTTGTCTGCAGAGATCTGGTCTTTGTGGCATAAAGGTGTGCTCGAAGAGAAGCAAGTAAAAACGCCAGTAAGTGGCTTCGTGCTGGAGGGTGTAGCGCACGCACGCACGCACGCACGCACGCACGCACGCACGCACGCACGCACGCACGCACGCACGCACGCACCACAATCATCTGACATGCGGTTGAAGAAGAAACCTGAGTGGTGAAAGCCTGAATGAGTGCACAGCAATTTAAGTCTTTACAACTGTGTTTCGGACTAAGCTGCTAACATTTTCAGATGATTGAGCAATGTAGTAAACATGTATTTAGTGGTATTACGACAGTCATCGTTCTTCTGCGATCAACTTTTTCTTTAACAATATTAACATGCAACATAAAACATACAGAACAAGTAAGCCTGAGGAGAACAAGCAAAGAGTAGCTAAAAATAAGATGACCATAATAAGAGGGACATTATGAATAAAATATTTAATATATGATCAAGGTAAGCGTAAGTGCCATTAGTCATATTTCAAAAAATATTGGGCACAGAATCAGCAGCAGTAATAATACATTCAGTTAATTTGTGCACTAGAAAGCTCCAGGTATGCTATAAGACAGGAGGAAAAGAACAGATTCAGTGTTTGATGGAGAGATAATGAGGCTTTTAATGAGTGGGTATCATATTCTTAAAACAGCTGGCACAGTCTGTCTTTGTTTTGTTTTTAAAACACTGCCAAGCATTGACAAATCATTTACGGGGAAAGACGATATGGTAGTTGGCACCGTCATGGACTGCGGTTGACATTAAGAGTGTAAGAGCGAC